AACTAGCCAATCCAAACACACTAACTATGAATGCCCACCCCCTAGCTCTGTAACGGGCCATCCCAGATAGCTAGCCAATCCAAACACACTAACCATGAATGCCTGCCCCCTAGCTGTCACGGCCCATACAGGGTAACAAGCCAATCCAAACACACTAACTATGAATGTCCGCCCCCTAGCTGTCACGGCCCATACAGGATAACTAGCCAATCCAAACACACTACCTATGAATTCCCGCCCCCTAGCTCTGTCACGGCCCATGACAGATAACTAGCCAATCCAAACACAATAACCATGAATGCCTGCCCCCTAGCTGTCACGGCCCATACAGGGTAACAAGCCAATCCAAACACACTAACTATAAATGTCCGCCCCCTAGCTGTCACGGCCCATACAGGATAACTAGCCAATCCAAACACACTACCTATGAATTCCCGCCCCCTAGCTCTCTCACGGCCCATGCCAGATAACTAGCCAATCCAAACACACTAACCATGAATGCCCGCCCCCTAGCTCTGTCACGGCCCATCCCACATCACTAGCCAATCCAAACACACTAACTATGAATGCCCGCCTCCTAGCTCTGTCACGGCCCATCCCAGATAAGTAGCCAATCCAAACACACTAACTATGAATGCCCGCCCCCTAGCTCTGTCACGGCCCATCCCAGATAACTAGCCAATCCAAACACACTAACCATGAATTCCCGCCCCCTAGCTCTGTCACGGCCCATCCCAGATAGCTAGCCAATCCAAACACACTAACTATGAATGCCCGCCTCCTAGCTCTGTCACGGCCCATCCTAGATAACTAGCCAATCCAAACAAACTAACCATGATGCCCGGCCCCTAGCTCTGTCACAGCCCATACCAGATAACTAGCCAATGCAAACACACTAACTATGAATGCCCGCCCCCTAGCTCTGTCACGGCCAATCTCAGATAACTAGCCAATCCAAACACACTAACTATGAAGTGTGCTCTGAAACGGCCCATCCCGGATAGCAGGCCAATCCAAATGCCTGCCCCCTAGCTGTCACGGCCCATACAGGATAACTAGCCAATCCAAACACACTAACTATGAATGCCCGCCCCCTAGCTGTCACGGCCCATACAGGGTAACTAGCCAATCCAAACACACTACCTATGAATGTCCGCCCCCTAGCTGTCACGGCCCATACAGGATAACTAGCCAATCCAAACACACTAACTATGAATTCCCGCACCCTAGCTCTGTCACGGCCCATCCCAGATAACTAGCCAATCCAAACACACTAACCATGAATGCCCGCCCCCTAGCTCTGTCACGGCCCATCCCACATCACTAGCCAATCCAAACACACTAACTATGAATGCCCGCCCCCTAGCTCTGTCACGGCCCATCCCAGATAGCTAGCCAATCCAAACACACTAACTATGAATGCCCACCTCCTAGCCCTCTCACGGCCCATCCAGGATAACTAGCCAATCCAAACACACTAACTATGAATGCCCACCTCCTAGCTCTGTCATGGCCCATCCCAGATAACTAGCCAATCCAAACAAACTAACAATGATGCCCGCCCCCTTGCTCTGTCACAGCCCATCCCAGATAACTAGCCAATCCAAACACACTAACTATGAATGCCCGCCGCCTAGCTCTGTCACGGCCCATCCCATATAACTAGCCAATCCAAACACACTAACTATGAATGCCCACCCCCTAGCTCTGTCACGGCCCATCCCAGATAGCTAGCCAATCCAAACACACTAACTATGAATGCCCGCCTCCTAGCTCTGTCACGGCCCATCCCAGATAACTAGCCAATCCAAACACACTAACTATGAATGCCCGCCTAGCTCTGTAGCAGATCTAGCCAATCCAAACACACTAACTCTGAATGCCCGCCTCCTAGCTCTGTCATCCCAGATAACTAGCCAATCCAAACACACTAACTCTGAATGCCCGCCTCCTAGCTCTGTCACGGCCCATCCCAGATAACTAGCCAATCCAAACACACTAACTCATGAATGCCCGCCTCCTAGCTCTGTCATCGGATAACTAGCCAATCCCACATAACTAGCCAATCCAAACACACTAACTATGAACGCCCGCCTCCTAGCTCTGTCACGGGCCATCCCAGATAACTAGCCAATCCAAACACACTAACTATGAATGCCCGCCTCCTGGCTCTGTCACGGCCCATCCCAGATAGCTAGCCAATCCAAACACACTAACCATGAATGCCCGCCTCCTAGCTCTGTCACGGCCCATCCCAGATAACTAGCCAATCCAAACACACTAACCATGAATGCCTGCCCCCTAGCTGTCACGGCCCATACAGGGTAACTAGCCAATCCAAACACACTAACTATGAATGCCCGCCCCCTAGCTCTGTCACAGCCCATCCCAGATAACTAGCCAATCCAAACACATTAACTCTGAATGCCCGCCTCCTAGCTCTGTCACGGCCCATCCCAGATAACTAGCCAATTGTAGAATATTGCATATTCTATGTTTCTATTGATTATATATATGGACGTGTGGATTGACATAAGTAACAGATGGTATCAATAAGTCACAAGGCTTTCTTTGTCCGAGAGCTCTGTGTGGATGTGGGGGTTTTGTCCTTATTTGGCTAGAGTTAAACGCTGACGTTAGTATGAACACTTCTGTATAGTAACAGAGGGACATGAGGTCACTCTCTCTTGGCTCGTGGCTCTTGGCTTGAGTCTTGGCTCTGTACAACGATGTAACTCTCCCATCAGAAGTACAGCAATTACCATCTGCTGTTGAATGTCCATTATCCTGTAACATCATTTATTATGTTTTATTATGTATCCGTAACAAAGAATAAACCAGAAGAAACCGTAAGTCAGATTGCGTATTACTACTTTTCAATAATATAGACATATATTATTGTGGCGAGCATTTGGCCCAAGACTATATATACAAAAGACGTATATATATCAATCAACTGAAGACAAGAGGAAATTAAGAGGATTCTACATTAACACGATTCCAACAAGATTTTAAACCAATCCAAACACACTAACTTTGAATGCCCGCCTCCTAGCTCTGTCACAGCCCATCCCAGATAACTAGCCAATCCAAACACACTAACTATGAATGCCCACCCCCTAGCTCTGTCACGGCCCATCCCAGATAGCTAGCCAATCCAAACACACTAACTATGAATGACCGCCTCCTAGCTCTATCACGGCCCATCCCAGATAACTAGCCAATCCAAACACACTAACTATGAATGACCGCCTCCTAGCTCTGTCACGGCCCATCCCAGATAACTAGCCAATCCAAACACACTAACCATGAATGCCCGCCTCCTAGCTCTGTCACGGCCCATCCCAGATAACTAGCCAATCCAAACACATTAACTATGAATGCTCGCCTCCTAGCCCTGTCACGGCCCATCCCAGATAACTAACCAATCCAAACACACTAACTCTGAATGCCCGCCTCCTAGCTCTGTCACGGCCCATCCCAGATAACTAGCCAATCCAAACACACTAACTCTGAATGCCCGCCTCCTAGCTCTATCACGGCCCATCCCAGATAACTAACCAATCCAAACACACTAACTCTGAATGCCCGCCTCCTAGCTCTGTCACGGCCCATCCCAGATAGCTAGCCAATCCAAACACACTAACACTGAATGCCTGCCTCCTAGCTCTGTCACGGCCCATCCCAGATAGCTAGCCAATCCAAACACACTAACTATGAATGCCCGCCTCCTAGCTCTATCACGGCCCATCCCAGATAACTAGCCAATCCAAACACACTTAACATGAATGCCCGCCTCCTAGCTCTATCACGGCCCATCCCAGGTAACTAGCCAATCCAAACACACTAACTCTGAATGCCCGCCTCCTAGCTCTATCACGGCCCATCCCAGGTAACTAGCCAATCCAAACACACTAACTCTGAATGCCCGCCTCCAAGCTCTGTCACGGCCCATCCCAGGTAACTAGCCAATCCAAACACACTAACTCTGAATGCCCGCCTCCTAGCTCTGTCACGGCCCATCCCAGGTAACTAGCCAATCCAAACACACTAACTCTGAATGCCTGCCTCCTAGCTCTGTCACGGCCCATCCCAGATAACTAGCCAATCCAAACACACTAACTCTGAATGCCCACCCCTAGCTCTGTCACGGCCCATCCCAGATAACTAGCCAATCCAAACACACTAACTATGAATGCCCGCCTCCTAGCCCTGTCACGGCCCATCCAGGATAACTAGCCAATCCAAACACACTAACTCTGAATGCCCACCCCCTAGCTCTGTCATGGCCCTATTCCACTAAGCTGTGATGCTCAATGGGATACATTTTCTTAATTAATGAGTTAATGTGAGCTGCCGAGCCTTATCTGATATGATCCTCCAGAGCGGAGCTCACACAGTCAGAGCAGGGGAAGGGATTTAACGATCTCCCTGGTTCTTGCTTTCAAATCTCTACATAATGCTGCTCCCACCTATCTATCCTCCCTAATGCACAAGTATGTCCTGTCTAGGCCCTTACGATCTGCTGAATACTTACGTCTATCTTCTGTCCGTACTCCCACCTCTGATGCTCGCCTTCAAGATTTCTCAAGGGCTGCATCGTTCCTGTGGAACTCGCCTCCCTCCTCCGTTAGATGGTCACCCAGTCTCCACTCCTTCAAAAAATCATTAAAAACCCACTTCTTCATAAAAGCGTCACTATATCCCTCTAGCATGTAAACTCACTGAGCCAGGCCCTCAATCCCTCTGTTACTGTGTCACTATAACCCACTCCCTCTAACATGTAAACTCACTGAGCAGGGCCTCAATCCCTCTGTTACTGTGTCACTATACCCCACTCCCTCTAACATGTAAACTCACTGAGCAGGCCCTCAATCCCTCTGTTACTGTGTCATTATACCCCACTCCCTCTAACATGTAAACTCACTGAGCAGGCCCTCAATCCCTCTGTTGCGTCACTATACCCCACTCCCTCTAACATGTAAACTCACTGAGCAGGGCCTCAATCCCTCTGTTACTGTGTCACTATACCCCACTCCCTCTAACATGTAAACTCACTGAGCAGGGCCCTCAATCCCTCTGTTACTGTGTCACTATACCCCACTCCCTCTAACATGTAAACTCACTGAGCAGGCCCTCAATCCCTCTGTTACTGTGTCACTATACCCCACTCCCTCTAACATGTAAACTCACTGAGCAGGCCCTCAATCCCTCTGTTACTGTGTCACTATACCCCACTCCCTCTAACATGTAAACTCACTGAGCAGGGCCCTCAATCCCTCTGTTACTGTGTCACTATACCCCACTCCCTCTAACATGTAAACTCACTGAGCAGGCCCTCAATCCCTCTGTTACTGTGTCACTATACCCCACTCCCTCTAACATGTAAACTCATTGAGCAGGGCCCTCAATCCTTCTGTTACTGTGTCACTATACCCCACTCCCTCTAACATGTAAACTCACTGAGCAGGGCCCTCAATCCCTCTGTTACTGTGTCACTATACCCCCACTCCCTCTAGCATGTAAACTCACTGAGCAGGCCCTCAATCCCTCTGTTACTGTGTCACTATACCCCACTCCCTCTAACATGTAAGCTCACTGGGCAGGGCCCTCAATCCCTCTGTTACTGTGTCACTATACCCCACTCCCTCTCACATGTAAACTCACTGAGCAGGGCCCTCAATCCCTCTCTTACTGTCACTATACCCCACTCCCTCTAGCATGTAAACTCACTGAGCAGG